CTAATGAGATTAATTAAAGCTTGAACAGTATGATGGTATACTCGATATACTCGATACTCGATATACTCAGAGGAGTCAACATGAGAAGAAGCAGCAGCACAAAAAGAAATTGACAATATCAAAAAAAAGTAAATTTATGTTTCTATACTGAACACAAAACTAATTAGGTAAATAGAAATCAAGTTGATTACTTGGTTCCATGTGCAGTATTGCTGATGTGTCCAGAAGATTGAGGTCTTCAGTTATGCAACCACCCTCCAATCCAAATTACCTGCTTCAAATAATTAAAAAGAGTTTCAAATTTAATGTTATCCAGTTACCTTTCTAATACAGATTTCACTTAGGTATGCTACACCTGGTTGGCGTTAACACATAAGAATACAATGTAATCCTCTTTATCATCAAATGTTGTTTCATATTTGTGTGGGTGTGTTTTGAGTTATTGACTCCTAATATTGTTGTTTCATACAAATTTAACTAAACCCATCAAATCCATTTCAAATTATTAGAAATCAAAACCCATCAAACCCATTTCAGAAATCACAACCACTCCAACCACAACAATTAAAATAGTTTACACCGAATTAAAGTTAGAGACTTACAGTTTCACCATCTCTCTGCGTTTACTTTGGGAAGACAAATTATTAGAAATTAGAAATCAAATTATTAGAAATCCATTTAACTTTGAATTTCAGCGAATTAAACCCATCAAATCCATTTCAAATTTCGGAAATCAAAACCCATCAAACCCATTTCAGAAATCACAACGTACTCAATTTTCAAACAGATATAAAATGCATGACACAATGTCAACCAATAGCTAAAGGATCAACTATGGAATAAGTACAGAGCTAAGCACAAATTTCAACTTATTGTATTGTAAACCTTTTGGCAATCCTAGAATAAAAATATATGGGAGACAGAAAAAGAATATTACACAGTTGCAGCAACTGGGTTCCTTGGCAATCACATAACTAAGCCAATTAAGTATTACCTAACGGGTCAATTCAAAAACTCATCTACAAAAAATAAATGCACAAATAGATAAATAAATAAAGAAACTTTTAAAGGATATTAGACCTGGTTTGGAATAAGTTATTTTAATAATTTTTAATTTTTTTATTAAAATATAAGGTAAAAAAATTAATATATTTTGAATAACTTTTTAATTTTTTATGACAAATTGTACAAAATAGAGAGAAATTTTTTTCTTTTTATTTTTTGGTATAGGTCGTTTACTTTTAAATTTTTTTTTTTTGATTTTTTAAATTTTAAGCTAAAATATTGAGAGCTAAGACAATGAAATTTTCAAAAGACAATGAAATTCTTAAATTTTTTTATTTTCTAGTCAATTACCATGAAATCAAGAAAAGACCCAGATCCAGATTCATAAAACACTGTCTGATCATGTAAACTCAATTCAGAATTAAAGGAAAAATGAATAACTCCATAGAATTGTTCAAATCTCTAGTCACAGAAGCGAATTTAAATGCCAAAGAATTAAAATCAAACCTAGAAATGAACGAATCCAGTTGATCTTGAACCACAAAATATCTATAAAATTCAATAAAATATCTATATATGTACATACTTCTAAGAATATCTTCACACAAACTCACAAGGTACTATTGTTGACTTCCTCATTGACTTGTTACATTTAAAAAGAAACACAGGTCTTAATCTCTGCAATTTCCAAATCAAAGAAGATGCAGAGTAATCCTATTGCTATATTTTCTTTCTGTCAACAGGCTATTTACAATCTCAATTATGCCTGATTATAGATTTTTTCTTTATATAGTGAAAAATTGAACAAACAAAACAACACCAACAACACCACCATCAATCCAAATCATCAATCGACTAAAAACACAACAATTAGTTACCTTACCCGTATTTTCTCTACCACGTTTGCCTTGTCGCTCTTCACCATCGACAGTTACCTCTGTTTCATGAATCTTCTTCTCCAACACACGTTCCTTTTCCTTTGAATCCTTATCTTTTCGCCCCAAATCTTTTTCAGATTTTGCTGCTACTCTTACTCTTACTCTTACTCTTAGAATCCTTAACTTTGCTGCTACTCTTACTGTTTTCTTTCTCTCCCACTAAACCCCCACTTGATTCAATCTTCTCACCACCACCACCATTGTGCTTTCTACTACTTTTACTCTTCGAATCAACCAAAGCTTTCGACTTTGAAGTCTTATCCCCATCAATCCTTGAACTTTCCACTTTCAGTAATTGAAAAAAGGAACATGATACTTCAAACATAGAGAAACAACCCATGCATTGCTCTCCTATCCTACGTAATAAACTCCAAGTGTTCATAACTAACCTACCTAACTCTTAAAAAAGACAAAAAGCATTGAATGGGAAAAAAAAACGTTCCACTCTGCTCCCCCAAATGATGAGCTAACCAACATAAAACCCACTCCAAAATGTTCGGAAAGTTGTTTCCTCCAAACCATTTAGGTTCAAATATATTGCACCCGAAATTCTCAGTGGCCATAAATTTAAAGTTAGCAGCATGTTCCTAAAATAATACACATGAGAAGCATCTATAAAGAAGTTACACTTACAGGTATTGCCAGGGCAACAGGATCCACTGGAACATTGAAGGGCTCAGCAGCATCTTAATGACCTGTGAACACATAAGATGATTCATTAATAAATAAGTAAAAATGTTGTAACCACATTTCAAGCAAAGATTGTGTTTACATAGGTGTCAACAAATATGAAATACATGTATATAAAGGTCGTACCCAATGCATACTGCTCCCGTTAGACATCAACAACAGGGCGGTTTTTAATTCTTGCTTATCGTATTGAGGATCCTGATGAAGTGAGTTTGCTTCTTTTTGATGCGTCCTTCCATTCTGCACCTGTTTTGCATTGCTACATGGTTCTATACTGGAGGCAACTATTCCACCTATTAGAAATAATTTATAAATTCAGATCTTATAAATTATCAGCAAACCCAAAATAATTTATAGTTTTTTGGGTTATTTATCATTTTAAATTATTTCGCCTGATTAGAAATAATTATCATCATATAAATTCAGATCTTCGGTAATCTCTGTCTCTCACTTTGTAATAATCATATGATGATAACTCTGAATCTTCGGTAATCTCTCTCCTGCTTAAGTTTTTTGGGTTATTTAAAATTATAACTCTGAATCTCTTTGAATCTTGCGAAATAATTATTTTAATTTGAATTTGTATGATGATAAATTTTAATCTGAATTTATATGATGATAATTATTTCACTATTTTCAGCAGCAAGATCTGAATTTTAATCTGAATCTTTTGTTACAAACCCAGCAAGATCTGAATCGGTTGTAGAGAGAGTTATATAATATGATAATCCAATCCATAAAATAGAGAGAGAGAGAGAGAGAGGTTTTACTTTCGGGTATGGCGAGGGTTTTGGAGAGAGAGCTTCTCGTCTGGGATTGGGACCAAACTTTTCTCACCGTAGAATTAGCTTTCGATTCAACTTTCTTGCTTGCTGGGACTCTGTTACTGCTGCTCTCTCTCTCTTTCGCCTATCGTTGAGGAGGAAGGTTTGTTAAAGCAGGAGAACAAAGAGTGAGAGAGAGATAAGAGGGACAGTTGCGAGAGAGAGATAGAGGGAGTTGTAGAGACGTGTTTGGCAGATGTGGGAGAGAGAGAGAGAGCATAGAGGGTTTGAGCGGGAAAAAAACTGATCTCAACCATTGATATAAACTTGGAATTAATCTCAGCCATTGGATCAAAATATATCTCACATACATTTTATACATTTTCAAAAACTTTCTTCCCTTATTATATAGATATATATATTTTATATATTTTTGGTATTTAGTGAATTTTCTATAGATTTTTTTCACAAATATTAAATTTTTTGTGTATTTATGTTAAGTATATCTAAAAATTAAAAAAATTTAGTGAAAACAAAAAAATATGAAAAATAAATAATTTCAATTTTCTAAAATGTGAATTTTTTAAAAATCCAATTTCAATTTCAAAAAATTTTCAATTTTGCTTAGGCTCCGTTGGGAAGAAAAAAGTTGGGTTTTTCCGGTTAAAATAGCCATAAAAAACAAAATGACTTTTTAGCCCAATAAAATAAAACATCACATCCAACCCATAATGGTTATATTTTTTCTCTTACAAAAAGTCAAAAAAATCAAAAAAGACAAAAGCCTTTCCTAAATGAGGCTTTTTAGCCCCATGCTAAAATAGCCAAAAAGTCAAAAAGCAAACCCAGTTGCCAAATGAACTCTTAAAATATTAAAGTTTTGACAAAGTTAGTGTAATGATGTCAAAAGTGTGGTATTAATTATATTCTTTTAAAAATTTAAATGTAATTTAGATCTTTTTTGCAACACCAAAAATAAAGTGATGGTGCTATATGCACCAATAGATATACTAATTAATGTATTAACATATATAATGACATTATTATTGACCCCACCTATTATATAAATTACAATTAATTTTTTTAAAAAATTATGTCATATCATTTGTTAATATACTAATTAATATATTAATTGATACATATAATATTATTTAAAATAAAAATATTTATTAATTTATTCGAATGATATCACTTATTTATTTATTTATTTGTATGTCCGAAACAAGACTTAACGTGCGGAAAAAAAAAAACTAAAAAAAGGGTTCTACAAATATTATGTCTAAATTTGGCATAAGCTAAACGGGATTTTCTAAGTTAAAATAGTCACAATAAAATAAAATAAAATTTTTAATTTAATATGACAAAATATCACATTTAAATTATACTTATTTTATTTTTTTCTTTTACAAAAATTAAAAAAATCAAAAAATTTATTTTGAACAAAATTTTTAACCCCAATAACTAACAAATTAAAAAATTAAAAACCCAACCTCTCACCCAAACCAACCGATATGTCAATTTCAAATGTGCGTTAATGGAGTTAGACAAGAATTGAAGTAGGCTTTTTGAAGTAAGCTTTTAATTTTCAAATTTATTAATAGCTTTTACTTCTTTTTATTTTCCATCTCTCTCTCTCTCTCTCTAAAGCTGTTTTGCCCCCCTCTTCTCTCTCTATCATATTTTTGTCTGTATAACGTTCTTTGGCCGGCGAAGCCGTTATTCTCTTGAATTCAGTCAATCATCCACTGCCCATTTCCAAGACTTTGACCGATCTTCGATCGCAGAATCGTGGCCGTTGATGGGGCATTGCTGCAGCAAGAGCGTTTCAGTCTCATTCGTCAAGGACGACGACAACACCGTCGTCGCCGCCGCCCCCCCCACCACCACCACCGCCACCGCCGCCGGCGGATCAAAATCACCGATTCCGGCGGCGCAATCCTCCGGTAACGGAACCACACCAGTTCACTCCTTCTCAGCCAGCCCATGGCAAAGCCCTTACCCGGCCGGCGTAGCTCCGTCGCCGGCGATGACTCCTCGGAGAATGTTCAAGTGGCCATTCCCTCCGCCGTCGCCGGCGAAGCCGATCATGTCGGCGATTCTGAAGCGGCAAGGAGCTTCGAAGCCCAAGGAGGGCCCCATACCGGAAGATGAACGCGGAGGAGTTGAGAGGCAGCTGGATAAGAGCTTCGGATACCCGAAAAATTTCGCGGCGAGGTATGAATTGGGGAAGGAGGTGGGTAGAGGGCATTTTGGTCATACTTGTTGGGCAAAGGTCAAGAAGGGAGAGCTTAAGAATCAACCTGTTGCTGTGAAGATAATTTCCAAAGCTAAGGTATGTGTGGTATGATTTGAAATTTACATATAGTTTGTTTTGGTTGATTTTTTTAGTTCAATTATGTGTAATCAATTGGTCTCTCTGAGTTATATGATTCAATTTGAAATTGAAGCTATGTTTGGTTTTGGCTTTTTGCTAAAAAATGCAAAAGACAAAATTTGTTACATAAGTTAATAAGACAAAATGTCACATCTAAACTATAATCATTATATTTTTTGTTTTACAAAAATAAAAAAAAAATCAAAAATAAAAACTAAATGAGACTAAAATAGTCAATCAAAAAAAAAAAAAAAAAAAAAAAAAAAAAAAAAACATTTTAGCTCTTTCCAAACAAAGACTCAGTTTTTGAAGCTAGTTTGTATTGGATTTAGTTTCAATATAAAAGGTGCGGATTGAAAATCCATTTAAATCTGATGATTTGCCAGGATAGTTTTTCTAGTAATAGAAGAACAGAGTTGGTTGGCAATTTTTGGTGACAAAACAAGTTGTAATGGAGGTGTTGGAATATTTAGTTGTGTAACGGTTGTTTGGTAAATTTGTGATACTCAGTCAGCCTGACGCACTTGCAAAACTTTGCTCCGTTACCTACTCAGTTATGATTTTGCATACATGTTTAGTTGCACTTGAAAAAGGTTTTTGGAAAAAAGTGTTTTAATGAGAATAGAAAGGAACTTGGAAAATGTGTTTCAAACAATAACTTGTTGCAAAGCTATCAATCCTTCGATCAATCCTTCTAGGATGCGATTGATTGCTTTTTTCTAAAATGGCCCAATTGATAGGAGATCGCTAGGTGATTGATCCCCTAAGAAAGCAATTTTCCAGTGGGTAGCGATTGACTAGGGGTCAATCACTTTTTGAAATGATGGGGCATAATTTTCCAGAAGGGAGTGATCGGCAGTGATTGACATGCGATTGATCCCTTGAAAGGTAAATGTGATCGATCGCTAATTCATTTTTTCAAAATCTACCCTAATTTGGTTTTCAAAGCTGATTTTTTATTTTATAAAAACATCAAAACTCGTTTTTAGAATATCTCAAAGCAATCTTTTTTTCTCTAAATTCTAGAAAAATTTTGAGTGATATATTTGATCAGTGAGAGAGTTTTCTTTAGTTAGTTTTTCAAAAACCTTCAAAAACTTTGCATATCTTTGCATTGCTGTGTTCTTACACCCAAGGCCAATTGGGTAATTGGAATTGTTCAAGAATGGAGATCGAGGCATAGCACCTTGTGGTGTCCAAAGGATCAAGAAGTTTGACTGGGTCAGGATGTGTTCGTGAAGCTTCTGCAAGTTATTAAAGTTAGGTAAACCAAGGTGAACGGTTGCAAGTTGTCTCAATTGTGTCTTGTAATCTTGATTCTTATAGTAGATTTGAATTGAGTGTCGAGGCCATGGTTTTTTCCCTCTTGGTGATTTTTCCAGTTGGATTTTTCACGTAATATATTGTGTTATTGAATTGATAACTTTGCGGTTTGTTGAATTGAACATAAATTAAAATTGGCTAATCAGTTAGTTTGATTGTAATGTTTAAGTAATTGCCCTATTTACCTCCCTCTAGGTCTATTCAAACTACAATATTTCAGTTTTGATCTTTATTTTGGTAATTTTTGAATTGGATATTTATATTATTAGGTTGGTTCTTTCACTTGATATGCGTTGGGACTTTGGAATGGTACTTGTTCAAAACTTTTGTTCTTTTGAGGGTGAAGCATGCTATTTACATGCAACTCTTGTGACATGCTATTTCCCGTAGCACCTAAAAGCAGAGGGAGGAGAGGAGAGCCTACAATGCAGTGAGCATATAACTAACCCAATGTGACATTCCTATCTTTTTCTATCTCCTCTCTCCTTCTCTCACATCTTACACATCAATCAATCATTTTTTCTCTCTCCTCTCTCCTTCTCTCACATCCTACATATCAATCAATTATTTTTTTTCTCACACCCATCTATTTAACTACAAAAAAACTATAAATCATCCCAAACTACAAAACTCCAAATCTGTAAAAACTATTTTCAAAATATACAATCAAACAAATTTTCAAAATTTGAAAACTCTTTCCAGAAAATTATCTCTCAAAATTAATTCTGAAAACCTAACCAAACACAGACTTAGCTTTACACGTGTCTGCTGATTCTGAGGCATAGTTAATCAGATCATGTTCATTTTGATAATTTTTATTACTCCTTATTTTTCTTTGCCTCGTATCTTGTAATCAATGGCATGAATTGTCAATGTACTAAAATAGGGCTAACTGGCAGAGCTTTCGGCACCGTTTGTTATGATATGGGATGGGGGTTGATTATTACAAACCCGCCCCAAACCCGACCTGTGACCATCTATCGGAAAGAGTTCCAAACCTCTATCTTCATAATAATAAGGGAAATCTAAAACCTATTCCTAGCAAGTTGTTGGATCGAAGTAGGACATTCTTCATCTACCTGACAACAGTAGAGGGGGTTCGATTCACGTTATACGCAATGTTGCAAAAACCATTGATTCAATGAGATATGCCTTTCTTGCCTTAAGATTTAAACTTCTTGTTACTTTCAGGAAATATTTGGAACATAGAACTTACAATAATGCAACATTGGATTCTCTAAAGATTAAGGAACAAGAAGAGATCTGTTGGGAGAAATGTTACTCGAGAAAACATTTTAACAGTTCCATCCAAGTAAGAAAATTTTTTGTATGAATTCCTAAGTTGGTGCTAGAGCTTAATGTCACGTACTGACTCATTAGAGATGCGAGTTCTACGCCAAGCACCTTGTAAGCGCATTAGTTTGTGAGTGATAAGACAGGCAGGATAGATTCCTATCACATCTCCTGGGTTGGTCTGTGGGCATAATTCACAGGGGTATGCAGTACCACTCGTGGAGTCGGTTTTTCAGGAGAATGACAAGTGCCCAGTCCGTGACAAGTAGTATCAAAGCTAGCTTAGGGGCATTGTGATGGGGACGGTACGTGGGACTCACACCAAGCACCTTCATTGTGGGGTCCGCACCAAGGGTGATGTCTGCACGGGGCAGGCAAGTTCCCATGGGTAGGGGAACGGACAAGCATGGAGGCAGGTAGGGTAATGTCCCCCTGATGAGGGCGTCAGGGACGGGTAGCGGTAGCATGTTATGTACCGACTCATTAGGGATGTGAATTCTACACTAAGCACCTTGCAAGCGCATTAGTTTGTGAGCAACAAGGCAGGTAGGGTAGGTCCCTATCGTATCTCCTAGGTTGGTTCGTGGGCATAATTCACGGGGTATACAGTACCACTTGTAGAGACGGTTTTTTGGGAAGATGACAAGCGCCCAGTCCGTGACATTAAGTTGCAGTTTAGTGGATGGAGGTCAATGTCTAAGGCAAGGACAATGTGACATTATTTGGTCTGCAAATAACTAACTTAGCAGTTTCAACTTTCGTTCACTCTTTTGCGATTGAGATACTTGATTGAGGCATCAAAAGGTGTAAGCAGAAGATTATTTGTGGTGAAGCTTTGTTACAGTTGACACATATAGTTGCACTATGTTTAGGGAACATCTATATTAGACAAGGTTGTTCTTTCTATATAAGTTGGGAAAGATGAGAAACATTTTGAGGAAGACCAAATAGACTATCAAAACTGTGTTGACTGAAATATGCAAGAATGATGAGTTGCTTGAGGAATGTTTGCCAGTATCCTTTTTACCGATGAATAATGTGTGCATTGAACATAGATGTTCGGAAATTTCTGCTGGTTTGTTGTGACCCATTTTAAAGCTTAATGTAAGTGAACCTTCTTTTCCTTGATACAATTGCAGCTCAGAGAAACTCAAAATTTTAAGGCTTGTTTGGTTTGGATTTTCAAATCAAATTTTGAGAGCTCAAAATCCAAAATTTGTTTGGTTTACAATTTTCTCAAAACTGTTTTCATTTTCTTTTTCTATCTCCTCTCTCCTTCTCTCACATCTTACACATCAATCAATCATTTTTTTTCTCTCCTCTCTGCTTCTCTCACATCCTACATATCAATCAATTATTTTTTTTCTCACACCCATCTATTTAACTACAAAAAAACTATAAATCATCCCAAACTACAAAACTCCAAATCTGTAAAAACTATTTTCAAAATATACAATCAAACAAATTTTCAAAATTTGAAAACTCTTTCCAGAAAATTATCTCTCAAAATTAATTCTGAAAACCTAACCAAACACAGACTTAGCTTTACACGTGTCTGCTGATTCTGAGGCATAGTTAATCAGATCATGTTCATTTTGATAATTTTTATTACTCCTTATTTTTCTTTGCCTCGTATCTTGTAATCAATGGCATGAATTGTCAATGTACTAAAATAGGGCTAACTGGCAGAGCTTTCTTTCAAGGCAATTGATTAAAATTCATTTTAGCCTCTTTTGCTATAGCATTTCCATGTAATACTTTCCATATCTCCTCAACCATTGACGCTTCATCTGCGGGGAATTTCCTTAGCTTTGTTCAAACTTAAGAAGTAACTAGTGAATGTCAAGGTCACAAGTGACCCCACACTTGCATTCTATACCTTTTGAGGATGGTTAATCATTGGGTAATTGTGATACGTGTGAGGTTGATCATTGGATCAAGTTAGGATCGATCAAACTGGAGTCAAGCTTGGCAATATCACTTTTTGGAATATAAGTTTTAGAACCCGGAAACTGTATGTCCTATGTAGAGATGACAGCAAGTCATGAATTCGGCAGTAGCAACTGAGCTGTGTATTCTTTGTCCGAAATAATGTTGTTGGGATTGAAAATACATTGAAATTTTGTTATCTGAAACTTGTTTGTAGTAACGTTAGGTACATAAAGATAGTTCTGAAAGAGCTATTTTGTTAGTTCATCTCCTTGTTAGGAGATAAAATTGGATGGTGTTTCATAATGATTAGAATCTATTGGTTAACTGCAATTTTCAGCTAAAACAAAAAATTGTTTGATAGTGATAATGATTAAAAATGCTGTGTTTGACTTGGTTCTTTTTCACTATGGATCAAATGTTGAAACTTTAGCTGTCAATTACTTTTGTGTTTTGCCTGTGCAATGGTATCTTCTTCAATGTTGTGTAGGTGACTCAAAATTTGCTAGTATTTCTCAAATAAACCTATTAATTATTCTACCAAGTTGATAAGTTCTAATTCCAGTCATTGATAAATAGGTAACTAACTGAGTATCACTTGGCAGATGACAACAACAATATCAATTGAAGATGTTCGTAGGGAAGTGAAGATATTAAAATCCTTGTCTGGGCATAAGAATCTAGTCAAGTTCTATGATGCCTTTGAGGATGCCCAAAATGTCTACATCGTAATGGAGTATGTGTTTCCTGTTGTAATATTCTTTTCAAGTTGCATATGGAATCATGGTTCAACCTGTCCTGGGACTTGACATATTGGTTTTCTGCTCAATTGTGTACGTGTAGATGTATTTGCATGGCTTTGTGGTTCATCAATGTCTTTACAGATTGATTCAGTTTTAGTCCAATCATACTGACTTCATTTTTGTCAGTACTCTGGATCTCAAAAAATTTCCATTGCTGTTCCTCTGGTTTAGAGTTTTCAAATCTAATGAATTCAATTAATGATGATGGTCTCTTATGATATTCTCACTTATGCCAGTTTTACTCCTGGGTTTGTATACATGAATTTTCAATGATGTTGTGAAAATTTAAAGTGTGTTCTAAAGCATTTATGATTTTGTCTTCAACAGATTGTGTGAAGGTGGAGAACTACTAGACAGAATTTTATCAAGGTAGAAATGGAAATACGAATCTGTACCACTTGTGGTGGTGTTTAGTTTTACTATCAGATTTAATGTGTTTTTTTTTTTAAGGATAAAGTTTACTATGTTGTTCCAGAGGTGGAAGATATCCAGAGGAGGATGCTAAAGCGATTGTCATCCAGATATTAAGTGTAGTTGCTTTTTGTCATCTTCAAGGTGTTGTACACCGTGATCTAAAACCAGAGGTAGTTATTATGTGCATATCTTTTTCAATAATTTACTTGATTTGCTTTATTTGGAAATTAATATTTGTTTAGGAAATCAAAGCAGTGTCCATAGGCACATAGAAATTGTTTGTTGTATGCCCATTTCTCGTTCCATTGTTAACCAATTACTTGTATGATTTGATTGCTTGACAGAATTTTCTTTTTACTACTAGAGATGAGGATGCTCCCATGAAGGTTATTGATTTTGGTCTATCTGATTATATTAGGCCAGGTAATGTCTGAACAACAACGTTGAATTATCTTTCTTATCTTTCTGCTTCCTTGTATAGGTGACATATTTCTGCTCAATCAGTATCCGGTAACGAGTAATATGTGTTATATTAAATCCAATTTAACTATATGTAGTCGCACTATCTATGCTGTTTTTTGTCTATATCTTTCTTGTTGTCAGTACTATTCAAAAAATCATTTGGAGGCTTTGATGTCATCAATCTTTGTGGTGTTTGTTAAGGAAAGCCCTTCATTTCAGATGTAGCACTTTTTTATGTACCTTTAGTATGGTTAGAAAGAATAATTGGTGGTTAGGAATGTTGCCTCTCATGTATAGTCCTCCATCACTATTTTCCAGCTGGATTAAGGGGTCAACAATGCCATATTTGATCTCTGATCCTTCCTGGTGCTTCATATAAAGAAGTAACTTCCTGATCTAGACATTGTGTTGGATAGCTTAATATATACATTGTTGGATCCATTTCCTAGGTTGAGGGAGGTCTTGGGTTTAAGTCTCACTATTTACATTTGGGCCCTGTTTGCATCTTTCTCTCTCATTTGCATTCTATCTTTTCTCGATGTATAAATGTTTGCATCTCCATGTGTAAGATGGGGTGAGAGAGGGGGCCTTGTTTGGGAACATGTTATTTTAATAACTTTTTGGTTTTTTACGAAAAGATGTGCACAAAAGTAGAGAGTGATGTGACAACTTATAGTGATTTTTTGACTTTTTGGTTAAAATATGTAGTTGCCAAAGAAGTTCTTGTGGTTGTTTATACACTTTTTATGATCCTTGGCGTTATATTCAGTAACATGTATTTTCTTTTAAATGTTCTATGGCTTCTCTCTTACCTATTCTTTTCTTGATTTGGTATTTAAGTTCGAGTAAAAAACCTTAATTTCTTGTACTCATGCAGATCAACGTCTCAACGATATTGTCGGCAGTGCATTCTATGTTGCACCTGAAGTACTCCATAGATCATACAGTTTTGAAGCAGATATGTGGAGTATTGGAGTTATAACATATATATTGTTATGTGGAAGCAGACCTTTCTATGCAAGAACTGAATCAGGAATTTTTCGTTCTGTGCTAAGAGCTGATCCAAATTTTGATGATTCGCCTTGGCCTGGGGTATCATCAGAAGCCAAAGATTTTGTCAGAAGGCTTCTGAACAAGGATCACAGGAAAAGAATGACTGCTGCTCAAGCACTAAGTAAGTGCTCACTGAATGGCACATATATTCTTTTAGTGGGGGTATATTCTGGATATTTCTTATTGTAGTTTAATCATCTGGATAACTCTTATATTCTATTGGAAATGATGAATGCTTTTTTAACTACAGCTCACCCATGGTTGCGAGATGAAAACCAAGATGTGCCTTTAGATTTCCTGATCTACAAATTAGTCAAGTCATATGTTCGTGCCACACCTTTAAAGCGTGCAGCATATAAGGTTTTTACCTATCAAATACTGGTTGATTTGTAAACATCTTAATGAAATAGGCTTCTTGTAATTGATATACGGGCATGTGTGCCTGTATATGGGTTCAATAAGTAACTTCTAGCACTTACCTGGTCCACCTTTTGAGAAAGGCAGCTAAAAGGTAGCTGTGGTTAAAGTCATAAATTTTCATACTCATTTATCTACTTTGCAGGCTCTCTCCAAAGCCTTAACAGAGGACGAGCTCATTTACCTTAGGGCTCAGTTTAGGCTCTTGGAACCAAAAGATGGGCGTGTCTCACTCGATAATTTTAGGACGGTTAGTTGGTTTTCTCTTTTGTATAATTTCTTTGTTTTTTTGTTTGACAGTAACGTAAATGCTTTGTATTCATAAAAGCTAGTGTGACACAGTGTGATATAGTTATTTAATAATAGGTAAATTACGCTGACCTCCCCTGATGTTTGAAGAAAATATAAGTCCTACAATTCTGACATAATTATGTTGACCCCCCCTTTTAGTGAGGCTAAAGGGAACTGAACTAATGTAGATGGTGTGAGAACACAATGATAAATAAGATAAAATATACATTTCAATGTAAAAGATGTGACAAATATCATTTTTCCATCTATGAGTAATAGATTACTGATGACAAGGAGGCCAAGTATTAAGTGAATTAAAAACCTTTAGAGAACTCAATGTAACTATGCCAAACTTGTGGAGATTGTATTTTCTTCAATTCTCCCGGGGGTGTAAACTTGCTGGGGGGTTTAATTTACCATTTAATAAAAGTATCTGTTGTCATTCCTTGGTGTTCGATGTTTTTTTCATGACCATTAAATTGACTGAAAAAATTATGCAGGCTCTTGTGAAAAATGTAACTGATGCCATGAAAGATTCGATAGTTCCTGATATTTTGAATATGGTGAGACGTCTCTTTGTACTTGCATTGATAGATTTGAGTTTTATTTTGAACTTGATAAATTTGAAATTTGATTGACATGTATATTGCTACAAAAGTATAAGGTTTATAGAGTCGTACGCAATATGCATAATATTGTGATGGATTTATGACAAAATATTCAAGATTCGCATGATATGATGTGAACTTCCCATTTGTTGAAAAATTAAAATCATTCGACTATAAAATTTGTTATTGTTTCGGATTCTATTGCCATCTTAGCTAACTCGTAATTATGTGTTTTCATCTGGGTTTTGTACATGGACACCATTTCATTTTGTACCTTCCAACCTTAAAGCTAATGCGTGTATTTTTTTAATTGAAGATGGAACCGCTCTCAGCATATAAAAATGGATTTTGAGGAATTCTGTGCTGCGGCAATAAGCACGTACCAACTCGAGGCTCTTGAAGGATGGGAGAATATTGCAAGCACAGCATTCAAGTATTTTGAGCAAGAAGGAAACCGAGTCATTTCAGTTGAGGAATTGGCCCAGGTACACGCATTTTATCTCAACATAAGATTGCTTGTAGTTGATTTCACTTTCTCGGACAATGAACTTCAAAAATTTTGTGCAGGAAATGAAATTGGGTCATACGACTCACTCTTTACTCAAGGATTGGATTAGAAGCTCCGATGGAAAACTAAGTTTCCTCGGCTATACTAAGTTTTTGCATGGTGTGACAATTCGCAGTGCTAACACAAGACATCAATAGAATGCATGTCTAATCATGGACATAAATTTGTCAAATGAAATTTCCTTTTTAATGCCTGGTTTTGGTTTTCATTCTTTTTTTTTTTTTTTTTTTTTGGAGAAAAAAAGAAAGTTGTGTAGAAATGAATCCCAATCCTTTCAAATTATATGCTCAAGATGTGCTCAAGATCTATCTAACAGGCTTCCTTTGTGAAAATGGATGGGTATACAAAGTCATGTATATATATATATTTTTTGTCTAAAATTATAAAAAAACAGAAAGATAGGAGGGGGCGATCAACCCATGACAACTTTTCTCTGGCAAGACCATAGGAATCCCTACTTGCTGGGGAATCGACAGGAGGGGGCTGGGGATTGTAGATGAGCCTGGAGACACAGAGGTACTGCAATATAAGTGATCTATAGGTACTTTTAAAGACGGATTTGAGTTATATCATAAATTCAACCCCAAGGAGTTATTTATTTATTTATTTATTTTTTTGTGGAGAAAACAGCAAACATTATCATTTAGTTATGTGCCGGCTTAACGACCAACCTATTGACCTTGGATACACTAATGCAATTAAAATACATACTACTAGACAATATATCCGCCGCCAAAGTTGTGGAGGATAAAAAAGGATGGACTCTTTTACATAACACATCAATCAAAACTTGAGAGTCCGTACATATACAGATATTCAACAAATTTTGCTCCTTTGCCCATTGAATAGCTTGTTGGCAAGCAGTAGCTTCCGCCGCAAACACTGATGGAAGGTAGAGTTTTGTAGCTCTTTGGGATATTGGTTCACAGTTGCCATTGTAGCAGATCGAAGCTATTCCTGCGCTTCCGTCTTTCTTCCTCCATGACCCATCTGTCCCTGAAAATGAACACCATGAGGAATATCATTAACAGGTGCACATGTTTTAGTTGAAAGACCTGGAGAATGTATAGCATTATATCCTCATTTAAGACCAAAAACTCATCAAACCCCTGAACCGCGCTTTGATATGCCGAAGATCAAAATAGGTCCTAAGCTAGAGCAATAGTTCGTTGACAGGTTAATGAAATTTCTTAGAAAACTACACTATTTCTTTGCTTCCAAATGGCCCAAAACAGAGTAATTAGCTGCCGACACAATCAAGGTCATTAACCTCCTTTCCCCAATGATTTAACCAAGAGGAAAAAACGAATAGGATTTCCGATCGAAAAATCAAGACTATACCCTTTGGGAATCTGGGCATTGGAAGAATCTTTCCTCATTCCATTGTTGTTTCATAGACTTGAATCCATGTCATACGGACCACCAAATCACGGGTGTAAGCCTCCCACCACCAGGAGTAAGAGCATCTTCAAATCCAATTTTATACACATTTTGGTAGGATTGTAAAACCAATTACTCGGCACAGCTGGGCTCGCATGAAGATAGAACGTTAAAAGGGCCAAACTAGGAGAAATGGATTTTGTTAATCAAGACCCGCTCGAGATAATTTAAGGCCTATAGTGATAAGTTTAAATAAGTTTCAATTTTTTTACTATTATCATATTTTTTATTTAAAAATAATTTTTTTTCCTTTTTTTTTTGAATTTTTTTTAGAGGGTGAAAAATGCAAAATAACTAAAGATAATATTAAAAAAATGTATTTTTACAATATAAGGTTAGTCATATGGTGCTACACAGTTCTGCCACTGACTTGCATTATAAAAAGTAAAGTTGTTCAAACTCGACTCATGATCATCTTGATTAAAACTTATTTGAAATTGATTTGAAAGGTATATGAATTAAGTTTGAACACAATTTAAAACTCGTATTTTTAAGATAAGTTTATCTTGACTCACTTACAATCACTCATCTTATCATATGTGTGAACAAAACACTCTTTATGATTAGTCGACACGGTCCAATCTTGTATTTTAAATAGGATTCAATAGTTGTTTGGTATTAGTTATAAGTTAACTTTCATGATTATAATTTTTCTGATTATTAATTTAAAAAACTTAAAAATAAACTGTTTAATGGTGGAAATTTTAATAATTTGGGGCAAAAAAGTAGAACATGTTTGATTACAGAAATCACTTTTTTTGTCTGTTTGTTTTGGTTATGCATATATCCAAAATGTAATAAAAAATTATAATTATGACAGAAGAGATGGGCCTCTTTTGTCCATAAGAGTTTGAACTAACTTGAAAACAATTTCATCTTGTGATATAAGAAAATAAGCTGAAAATGTCAAATAAATTATAATGAAGGTGTTGTTTGGGAACATGTTATATTAGTAATTTTTTTTTTTTTTTTAATAAAAAAAAATTGTGTAAAAAAATAACTTAAAATGTATAATGACTTTGACTTTTGGGCTAAAATGTATAGTTAACAAACGAGACTTAAAATTAAAATAATTATTAATGAGTTTTGTTAAATAAATAAATGAAATAAATTGACTTATAAATGTCATCGAACGGGACAACATATTGTTTTAAGTAGTTTACATTGCTGGATTTGGGGATTCTATTGTGCCTTTTGGCAACAATAGGCTATTATGCTCCTTTACGGAGTGTCATTCTGAACCTTTTTTTGATAATTTGAATCGTTTATATTATAGGATTCGTCAAGTAGATCATCCATGCAAAAAATTAAATTGATTGAATATTTGCACGTCTACACTTAAAAGCACATTTGTTTTTATAAAAATTAACGATTGACATAATTTTCATAATTTTTTTAAAATAATTAAGATCTAATCATGATATGTATATCCGATTAACTTAATTTTTTACAAAAATAATATTCTTAACGAATCTTACAATTTGAACCGTCCAAATTATTAAAAAATATTTAGAACGACTTCGCACAAAGTGACACAGCAGCACCCTCAAGTCCTACATTACTAGTGTGTGAGCAAAATAATTTTTGAACCTATCAAGTTTGTCGTTTTGAGTTGTCAGCCGAACTTTGACATGAGCTTAACTTTTAAGCTCTCCAATAGTTTGTGACAAATTCTTGGTGGAAATTATTTTAAATTAAAAATTAATAATTATACAGCAGAACTTAAAAGTATTCCTTCTTCATTTTTTTGAAAAATTAATTTTTTTTAAACTTATTTAAGCTATAAATGAAAATTACACCAAATAATTTAATACAAACTCTTAAATTAAAATAAGCAATAAGCTACTTGTTTAATTCCCACCAAACACCCCCATAATCTTGTTACATTTTTTGTCAAGTTTAATACAAGATTTTGCAATTACCTAAATTTAATAAGACTTTCTCTCTACATGTCTCTTGTGATAAGGCTCATAAATATTTTCATTTGAAGGAAAAATATAAAAATAACATTAGCACAATTTGAATAAATGCCAAAGCATAACATCCCAAAATATAAGTTTAACATTGTTAAAATGTCAAATTTACTTAAAATCATCTAATGTTCTGTTAGGTTAAAGACTAGTAATGTATTCCTTACCTGATGGACCCAGCGGAGCGGCGCTGGTTTTTGGCGATTTTTGATGCTGCTCCAATAACTTTCCGGTGAGATGCATAAACATTTTTAACGTGTAGATTTAGATTTTTTTATGCTTAGGAAAAGAGTTTTGAGAGCTTATTTCTTGATTTTTGATATAGATTTTTGAATTTTCAATACTTACAATGATCTTCTATTTTTTTAATCCTCCTCCCTCATTGTTGTGGATGTTCTTTTTCTTTAACTTTGACGTCCGGTAGTGACCGATATACAAAAAATAGCGGCGGCAGGGACGATGGTGATGACAATGACAATGGTAGGATTGAGCTAAATATATACACGTATAAATCTTATTTTTCAAATCACATCGATGAGAAAGTTAGTAGTTTTCCTAATTTTTTTTTTTTGTCCTCGTTTTAGTAGAATTTTTTTGTTTAGTTCTTTGTTTTGTTTTTTGTTTTTTTATTGTTTTGTACTATGTTAACTTTTATTTTAATATAATTATTTTACAACTTTTCTTAAAAGACAATGATAATACCCAATCTAAAAAAAAGGAAAAAGACTAAGAGATTGTTTGAGATGATTTAAATAAATATATTTTTTGACTTTTTATAAAAAGATAGGCAAAAAAGTAGAGAGATAATGTAACCCAAATAAGTACACTTATTTAATTTATGTCAAATAGCGCTTAAGATAACACATCAATCAGTGTGTTTGGTTTTAATTTTCTGAATTCAATTTTTTAAAAATTGAGTTTTTTACTTTTCGTGTTTTCTTATTTTTAGTGAATATTTTTAAAATTTTAAGCAAATTTTTTTACTTACTTTGATGTATCTAAAAGTAAAATATTTGTGAAAAAATATTTTAAAAAATCAATAAATACACAAGAATACAAAAAATATACTGAATTCTCATATTTTTCTTTTTGTATTTTTGGTATTTAGTGAATTTTCTAAAGATTTTTTTTACAAATATTATACTTCTTAAGTGTATTTATGTTAGGTGTATTTAAAAACTAAAAAAATTGCTTATAATATTAAAAATTCAGTAAAAAAAAAATATAGAAAAAAAAATAATTTTCTAAAAAGTGAATCTTGAAAATCTAGACCAAACATGCTGAATGATATTTTACTTTGTACTCTCCATAATTCCATGTTTTGGTTTTGGATTTAAAAAAATGTAGTAATACTACAAATTTAGAAATTTTATTCAGAAAATTAGTTAGAAATATCAATATGTGATTCAGATTTATTCTACACATATTTAATCTCGATCACACATTTTAATTCTTAACACAAATCTAAGACTATGTTATGAATTCATAGACTTAGCCCATTTTAGGAACTCAAAGTTTTAATCAAAATGTCATTACAAAAAATTCAATATTTTCTTTCTATTTTTTACATTTTTTTTGGAGAAAATTCCATTTTCACCCCTATAATTTTTCCTCGATTTTCAATGACACTGTAGACTTCGAATAATTTCAAATTTCCCCTGAAGTTTTTGAAGTCGTATTATTTTTAACCCTATTGTTATATTTGTAACGGAAAAAGTTTAAAAAAAATTATAATTTGGCCCCAAATTTCAAAAGAAATATGTAAACTCACTATCTTCTAACCAAACTCACCCTCTTTCCTCACCCCTCCCACTTCTTTCT